GCGGCAGCGATGGCCCCGGCATGCACTTTCATTAATTAAGGGTGTCTGTGAAGGGTTGCCACACGCACACACACACACAAGCACTGCCTATCTCGTCTCACACACAGTCTGTATCTCTCTCTCTCTCTCACACTCACTCACACCCAAACACGCCTCGAGAACAAAGAGAAGGAAGGGTGATGAGGGGGGACGAACCTTGCCTTTCATAATTGCATGTAAGGCGCTCCCTGGCGCTCCCTGGCGGCCGGGCACATTGGCCTGGCCTAGGGCCTGGCGGAGCCTGGCTGAAACAGGCAATCCCTGCCGTCATTTCCCAGCCCCCCCCCCCCGCCCCGCCACGAGCAGGATCAGAAACTACGTGGATCAAGGACACTAGCCCTGTTTTGCTCAGAAAATTTTCAATAATGAAAACGAAGAGAATCCCTTTAAAATGTTTTCTTTACCCCACCTATTGTTACTCCCACAGGTGTTGGGCAGCTCATAGCTCATCACGTCCCGCGGTTCCCCCCCCCCCCCACACACACACACCCCATGACATCCCCACTGCTGACACGATGGAGTAGCCTTGCATATGTAACACAACGCCGCAGAGTATAACCAGGAAAGAAAGCATGGTCATTTCTCTCCGAGCAGAATAATTCGGGCCGGCAAAGCAGTACAGCCCCATTCTCGTCACACACACACGGACACGCCCATCCACAGTCTCTCGGCATCTCCATCTCGTTCTATATTATGTCCACTTGGCGTAAATGGCGAGGGATGTGTTTGCAGGAACTCGAAACATTAACGGCTGGCTTTGTCTTTTTTTTTCTTTTTCTGTTGCTGTTTGCTTGTGGCCACACGGCAGGTGACGCTTCAAACACACGGCCGCACACACTCACCGCTATCTTTTTATGCCCTCCGTTTTTTTTTGTATGAAAAAAATAGGAATAAATATTTTTCCGGGTAAAGTAGTGCTGCCCGGGAGGTCGCGTGTCGTGTCAAAGGAGGGGGTCCATGTTGGCCTCCGAGATAACCCACGGAGTAGGCGCTGCATACCCGCCACCCGCCCCACCCCCACCCCCAACATTCCCCCTTGCATATTTCATATGCTGGTGCCAGGGAACGTTAGAGAAAGGGGGACAGACAGAGAGTGAGTGAGCGAGTGAGTGAGTGAGTGAGGTAGAGAGAGAGAGAAGAGAGAGAGAGAGAGAGAGAGAGAGAGAGAGAGAGAGAGACCGCCAGCCTCCCTCCTTCAACATTAATGAAAAGTGGGCCTATATGAGACGAAGGGATCCAGTGTGAGCAGCGTGGCGTGGCGGGGCGGGCGGGGGGCGGGGCGTGGGGCGTGGCGGGGCGTGGGGGCGTGGCGGGGCGTGGCGGGGGGGGCGGGGCGGGGGGGCGGGGCGGGGCGTGGCGGGGGGCGGGGGCGGGGCGGGGCGGGGCGGGGCGGGGGGGGGGGCGGGGCCACCGCCCCTTCGACGCCGGCGAGTGGAGCCACGTTAGTGAGCTTCCAGCAAATCCGTTTAACATAAACTGGCGAAAGCAGCGCGCCCCCGCAAGTCCCCGCAGCCACACGCGGCAATCATTTTGTCACCATGTCGCCATCACTTCCTCAACTCGAAGCGGAAAACACGTTGCGAGGGGGAGGGGGACGCAGCGCAGCTCGCCGAAATGGAAATAACCGACAGACGGGAAGTAACTCAAGTTTAAAACTTTTCCCCTCCAGTTTGGGTTTTGCCGCTTGGGTTAGGTTAGACCTCCCACGCTTTTTCCGCCCGCCTCGACTCCATCATGATGCCTGCCACGCCGCCCGGCCGCCCGGAGCCCCGCGCCACGGGACAAAGTGGCGGTTCCTCGCCGCGCTCCCCGACGGGTTATTAGTAAGCGAAAGCTTGTTGTACCTGGCCGCCGCCGTGGCCGCGCCGCTCGGGGGTGGCCGGGGGCACGTTCCCGTGTGGAACGAAAGTCTGTAAAGTTGTCGTAGTTTTGTCGTGATTCTCACGATGAATTAACATCAAATACACTTCGTAACTACGACGAAATAACGTCAAACTGAGCGTCAAACGCGTTTGGCGTTAAACAGCAGGTAAATTTGAAGTTTTTTTGTCGTTAAAGTGGTCCGTTTTACGTCAAAAAAACTTCAAAATGACGGTGGTCCATGGAGCAGCGAGCCAAAACAGAAGCCTACTCGCCGAGTATCGAACCGAGACCCTAGCCCACCAACGCGTTGGGGGATAAGTGTCGGAGTTCGAAGCCGCTCGGCCAAAGCGACTTGTGGCGGTCGGAGTGCATCGACGCGAACTGCTTCGCCTCGCGCTTCCCGCTCTCGCATTTTGTCGCAGCAACTTAGAGCACTTGATCTAAGTAACGCTACTTGGGGTTTGAATCAGCTGGTGTTACATAACACATTCCAGCACGGTAAAAACGGTTCCTGGTTCCCCATGAAACGTATGGTAAAGGGATTTCCAGGGAGTTCCTTGGAAAACCAGGAACCAGGTAGCGTTACTTAGATCAAGTGCTCTAAGTTGCTGCGACAAAATGCGAGAGCGGGAAGCGCGAGGCGAAGCAGTTCGCGTCGATGCACTCCGACCGCCACAAGTCGCTTTGGCCGAGCGGCTTCGAACTCCGACACTTGTCCTCCAACGCGTTGGTGGGCTAGGGTCTCGGTTCGATACTCGGTGAGTAGGCTTCTGTTTTGGCTCGCTGCTCCATGGACCACCGTCATTTTGAAGTTTTTTTGACGTAAAACGGACCACTTTAACGACAAAAAAACTTCAAATTTACCTGCTGTTTAACGCCAAACGCGTTTGACGCTCAGTTTGACGTTATTTCGTCGTAGTTACGAAGTATATTTGATGTTAATTCATCGTGAGAATCACGACAAAACTACGACAACTTTACAGACTTTCGTTCCACACGGGAATTGTCCCGGAAAGGGACGCTGGCTGCCAGTGTGCCAGCAGGCTGCCGTGCCGCCGGGCGGCGTCTTCGTTTCCAGAGATTAGTGCCCCGGGCCTGTCCACGCCCAGCGGCCCAGCAGGCCTAGCGGGCCTCGCAGGCCCAGCCGCCCCAGCCGCCCAAGCCCCAGGGAAGCCCTGGGTCCTAGATCCGGCCTCCGCACAGTGGGCCAGAGGCCGGTGGAGGCGGCCAAAACTCTAGACGCGTTTTCAGGTCCAGAGTCGCTAAATGGGACTCGAACCGAACGTGCGACCCCACCAATGGATTGCTCTCCGAACGAGGAATCCATTGGTAGGGTCACATGTTCGGTTCGAGTCCTATTTAGCGACTCTGGAGCTCAAAACGCGTCTAGAGTTTTGGCCGCCTCCACCGGCCTCTGGCCCACTGTGCTCCGCACGCCGCGAAGCGCCACGCCAGGCCTGGCTGGCTGACTCTGGCTGGCTGGCTGCACGGCCCCTTTTTGCTGGAACGCGGTGGACGCCCCGACCACCACACCACAGCCTGAGGGCCCCCCACCCTTCCCGTCGCGCCGCCACGCCCCAGTCTGACGGCTAGTGTCACAGTCGCGTTATGATGAGGCGGCTGTGGGGGGCGGTCCGGGCGGCGCGACGGAGTTAACGATTAGGGCCTGCTCCTCCAGCTCCACGAGGATGACTGGGTGCAGCGCGTCACCGCCGCCCGGGCTAGCGGTCCGGTTCGGGACGACAGAGAGGGTAAAGAGATGTCTCCCGCTCCCGACTCCGCCGTCAGCCAGCAGTATGACACTTCACCCTCTCCACCTTCCCGTACTTTTCTGTGACAGCTCCCGCCCCGCACCGCCCTGCCCGCTCCGCCTCGGTGCGGAGTAGCACTCGACGTGCTCGCCGGGCAAATTGCCACCAGCAATAAAGGTTATTGCAGCAAGACACGAACTCCACTTGAAGCGGCGCAGCGGCGCAGCGGCGAAGCGGCGGCGGCACATACGCGACTCTGCTGCCGCGCCGTCGCCGCTCCGCCGAGGCTCTCTACTTCGTCCTCTTTGGCGCCCGGCTCGCCCGGCGCGAGGCCCCAGTGTGCGGTCGGTCCCTCGGCGCGGCTCGGCTCGGCGCGGCCGCTTCTGCATCCAATGGGCTTGTCGTTGGTGGCGGGGTGCGGTCTGCGGCGCGGGCCCAGCCACGGCCACGGCTGATTCAGAAATGTGCTCCGTCGCCGTGTCTCTTTCCCGCAGCCCGGCGCACAGTGGGCCAGAAGACCGGTGAAGGCGGCCAAAACTCCAGACGCGTTTTGAGCACCAGAGTCGCTAAGCAGGACTCGAATCGAGCGTGTGACCCCACCAATGGATTCCTCGTTCGGAGAGCAATCCATTGGTGGGGTCACACGTTCGGTGCGAGTCCCGTTTAGCGACTCTGGAGCTCAAAACGCGTCTAGAGTTTTGGCCGCTTCCACCGGCTTCTGGCCCACTGTGCGGCGGGACGCTCTGTGAGTGCGAGAGAGACGGAGTGACGACAGCTCTGTTGAGCCCGCTCCTCGGGCGGCGAAGAGACAGCCCTCTCGGAAAGCCAGCGGCCTGTGGTTCGGGTCCGTCTTCGTTCCGCTAACCTGGGCGGCGGTGCGGCGGTTCGGCTCGGCAGGGCGGACCCTCGCCGCCACCAGGCCACTTTGAGGCGCGAGAGGGGCGAGAAGTGACGGGTTGGACGAAGCTGCCTCGGGGATATTGCACTTCCTGGGCGGGAATTAAAGTCTCTCCGGAGGGCACCGGAGGGGACGCCTTGACCCGTCTGCCAGCGCGGGCTGTCGGCTGCTGCTGCCAGCCCCGCCAGACCCGCCTCACTCATCTCGCCCCCTCCGTGTGTGTCTCTGTCTTCCGCCCTCGGCTGGCGCTGGACGGGCAAACTTTCTCGTACCTTCCATTGTGGGGGCGTGGGGCGGCCAAGAGCGGCGATTCCGGGCCGGGCACTGTCAATACGCGGCGCGTGACGGCGCTGCAGTCATCCGGAGCGGCGGTGGCGAAGGCCGGAGCAACAGGCGGACAGGCCCGGACAGACAGGCCCCTCAAAACAAACAGTCCTAATGGAACTCACCCTTGAAGAGCGTGAGGATGCCCACGGGCATGACGAGCACGGCCACCATGAGGTCGGTGATGGCCAGCGACATGAGGAAGTAGTTGGTGACGTTCTGCAGGCGGCGCTCCCACGTGATGGCGAGGCACACCAGGATGTTGCCGGCCGCCGTGGCCACCACCAGGAAGAGGGCGAGCAGCGCCCACCAGTTGTTGCGGTTGTCGGGCTCGGCCTCGGCGTCGAACGGGTTGGCCGTGTCGTTGACGGGCCGCACCGACCAGATGGTGGAGTTGCCGTCCCAGCTCGAGCCCAGTGCCCAGGCCGACGTCGTGGTGGTGGTGAAGTCGACCACGCCCCCGATGGCTGCGGACACGAGAGCGACATGCACTGCTGGGGGCGCGCGCCCTGGGGGAATGGAGTGGCCCCTTGTCGAGCAAGAGGAAGAGAGGCTCGCCTCGGGAGCTGGCTGGCCGATAGCTTCCACTGACTCTGAACAGCGTCGCTCTGTCTCTCTCGCACCCCATGCGACACGCCATGAGTGCGAGAGAGACAGGGCGACGCTGTGCGAGGACCCCGTGTGCCCTGGGCACGGTGTCACATGCAGCCGGCTCCAGGGATGACAACAGCAGCTGCGTCTGCAGCTCAACGATATTCCAATATCCCGTAAACGAGAGCCTGCGTCGCAGGAAAACGAAATTTCCCCAACAGCTGCTCGAAGCAGTTTGTAACGACTCGCGGCAACACTTCGTCACGTTACCGGCCCTGCGACGGACGGTGTTCCGACGGTGAGCACCCGTTGGCAGGGTGTACAAAGGGTACCCCCTCCCTGTTCTACGCGCCTGCGAAGCTAGCGCAGCTTACCTGTTGCCTGCGTACTGGCGCGCAGCACGGTCGATGGAGGAGGCCTCTTGGCGGCATGCGAGGAGTTGACGATGTGGCGAGTCAGCTGGCTGAGAATACTCGGCGCGGGGTTGGGCCCCGGCAGCCCCGGCCCCGCCCGGTACGGGTAGGGGTCCCGCATCTGGAACGCAAACAAGCAAGTAAGGATCCTCGTCGTCGGCCTCGCCTCGGCCTCGCCGCCACAAGAGAACAAAGGCTGGCTTTGCGCCCACATGGCCCCGTCTAACAGGCTCCGAACGTATCGAGGCACTGCCCGTCGCTCTGTCTCTCTCGCACTCGCGGTGCGGTGTGATGCGGTGCGAGAGAGACAGAGCGACGACACGCTGCGCGAAATCAGTCCCGAGTTTGTCCGAGGCACCGCGGAGGCACCAGCCGTGGGCGCGTTTCCAACGCGTTTCCGCCGCCCTGTGTCGGCGTGCTTCCAGCGGGGCGGTTCCGAAGAGGCGTTCCTTCGCTCTGTCTCTCTCGCGCTCCTTGGCGACGCCTGAGTGCGACGGAGACAGAGCAGCGAGACGATCCTTCCGGCACGTACTGCTGTCACGGCTCCCTTGATCTTTGCATCCCCTTCCCAGCGGGCCCACTGTGGGGCCCCAGCGTCCGGGTGCCGGCTGCCCGACGGCGCCACGGCGTCCCCGCGCACTGATTCCGAGAGTCGCTCTGTCTCTCTCGCACCTATACGGGATGGCACATGAAAACGAGAGAGTCGGTCTCTCAGTCTGTCGACGCGGCCCAGACCAGCCGGCCACGGACCGCACGGCCTAATTTGATTATTCGTCTCGTCCCAAGCAGCAAGCACCGTCGGGCAGCAGACTGATTCCGAGAGTCGTTTTCGTCGCTCTGTCTCTCTTGCTCCTACAGGGCGCCCCATGAGTGCGAGAGAGACAGCAGCGCGTCGCCTGGCCGCCATTAGCGAGGGACTCATCCCGGTGGCGTGGCGTGACGGCACCAAGCATTCGGTGCGCTGGGCCCCGCTAACTGCCGCTAACCCTCTCAATGCAGGCCAAGTACTTCCAAAAGCCGCACCGCCCCGCCCTCGATGCCGGCACACAGTGGGCCAGAAGACCGGTGGAGGCGGCCAAAACTCTAGACGCGTTTTGGGCTCCAGAGTCGCTAAGCAGGACTCGAACCGAACGTGTGACCCCACCAATGGATTCCTCATTCGGAGAGCAATCCATTGGTGGGGTCACACGTTCGGTTCGAGGCCCATTTAGAGACTCTGGAGCTCAAAACGCGTCTAGAGTTTTGGCCGCCTCCACTGGTCTTCTGGCCCACTGTGCGGCACCCACAGGCAGCCGCCCCGCAAACCCATTCCCAAAAACAGCACTGTCTTCCTCGCACTCTTTGGTCATGCCATCGAGGCGGGAGAGAGACAGAGCGTCGGCCGAGAAGACGGCGCGGGGCCGCGGCCAAGCCCGTCCTTTTGTGCGTTGTATCTGGTGGCGGCAGAAGGACCCGCTGGGGGTGGAGCATTCGGTACTGCGGTGAGGGAAGGGGGATTCTGCCCTGGCACCCCTCGGCATGTCAAGCTGTCAAGCTCATCCACTGTGTTCTAATCGCCCGATCCGCAAACTCTGCATTCCGCTAAGACGAACAGAGACAGTGGGGCGTAAGTGGAGGAGGGCCTGGGGAGGGGGGAGGGGAGGGGGGAGGGGAGGGGGGAGGGGAGGGGGGGAGGGGGAGGGGAGGGGGGAGGGGAGGGGGGGCGCTCTCGCGCTTGCGTGCGTGCGGCGTCAGCCCGGCCCTGCGAGGAGCTCCGCGCTCCGCTTTCAATAAGGACCAACACAAGACAAAGTGAGAGACGGGGCCCGGCGCGCGGTCAGGTTCAAGTGCTCCTTGGGCTCCTTGGGGCGATTGGCCGTCGGGCCGTGTTGCCGTGCAGGGCGGTGCAGGGTTACATAGCGGCCGAGTACAGCTCCCCCCGCGGCGGCAAGGACGATGGAGTCGTCCGGGAGCACGTCGAGGCCATCATTCTTAAAGCGGGAAAGCCATTTGTACCTGCGAACCGCCGAACGTGCGTCACCAGCACGCCGTTTTGCGACAAGTTCGCGTCCCGGCGTGCGGCCTGCGGTAGACGGAGAGGGCGGCGCTGCGGAGTCGCTGCGCAAATACAGTGTGTGCGCTCGTCTCGTCTGCGCGGACTCCTCCCGTCTCGTGCGTGTACAGTGTACACACACCCCGCCGGCTCACGCCGTGTCCTTTTGGAGCCAACTGCCCGTGCAAACGCTGCCCCCTCCCCTCCCCGGATTCCTCTCTGGCGTCCGCGCGACGTCGCCGTCGTGGAGGACGCCGTCGAGGTAGGCCGACCCGCCGCGCGGACGCGGACCTCGGGTTGCCTAGCCGCGACTCCGCGGGCGCTTCGCCGCTCCTAGCCTGCCCACTGCACGGCCTGCAGACAGACTGGGAGAGGCGTTTGCGTCGCTCTGTCTCTCTCACACCAACGGGGCGTTCCCTTTGGGTGCGAGAGAGACGGAGCGACGCAAACGCCTCTCGGAATCGGCCTACTGGTCAGCGGCAGCGGGAGAGGCTGGGTGGCTGGGTGCACCGAGGCGCGGCCTAAGTGGGCTAAATTGAGTGGTGTTGGGCCAGGCTTCGCGGCCGCGCTCGCGCGCTCGCCACCGCGGCGGCTGTGAAAGGCGTCCGACCGCCCCGCCCCGCCCCGCCCCGCCCCGCCCCGCCCCGCCCCGCCCGCCCCGCCTTCCCGGGCCTACATCAACACCGCGCCATTAATCTTGTGACTTGCAGACCCGTCCCCGGGCGTCCTCCCCGTGCGAGGAAGGGAGCGCGATGTATCGGTGCGCCCCTCCCCTTTTTTCGGGGAATCGATTCAGAATGTGTCCTACACTGTCAGCCAGCCCCAGCAGAGTCCATGTGCTAAAACTGACAATTGAAACAAAGTATTGGCTGCTTTTCTGGCGGATTCGCTGTATCCCACCCCCACCCCATCCCCCCGCGAGTCCAGTCATTACATACGGCGGTGAAAAGATCCGCCATTACGGTGTGCCCTCCACTCGCGCGAGTACCGGCCGCGTAACGAGCAGGCCAACGACCGGACGGACGGCGCGCGGCAGCGCAGGCCGCCTGATGAATGCATGATGAATGAACGCGCCAACAAACCAACGAATGAGGAGGAACAGACAAACGAATGCTCCACGGACCACCGCACCGCAAAGTTGGTGAAAACCGGTGAAAACGACGACAAATGCCAAGACATCGTAGTGCGGCCAGATTTTTGCCGACCGCTGCGTCCAATCTAAGCCGGGAAATAGTGCTTCCTCCGGGCGAGGGGAGGCCCGCTGCGTGGATAGCGACAATTTTCGGCATCGAGACTCTCGATTCGAGAGCCGTCCGGAACAAGGACAGCAACAACAAAAGATGCCGGGAAAGTTAGCTAACGAAGTAAGAGCGTGTTTCAATGTGGCCCGCGTCGTCTGCTTGTTTTGCAGTAGTTTGCTCGCCTCAGAGATTTCATGCGCCGTTCGCGGGAGAGAAAGAGACGGACGCTACGCGGAACGGCCGAGGCAAAACGAGCGAGCGAGAGAGAGAGAGAGAGAGAGAGAGAGAGAGAGAGAGAGAGAGAGAGAGAGAGAGAGAGAGAGAGAGAGACGCAGATCCAAGCGGACCGGCCGAGGCAAACGACGCAAAAACTTTCTAATTTATTATCATGTATTAGACCTGATTGGGGTGGAGATACTCGGACGGCGCGCGGGACGCAAGTTCGAACTGCGGAACGCGGTTGAAGTATGGGCGTTCCTCGTTCCTAGTTCCCCGTTCCTCGTCTCTCGTTCATCTTCTTCGTTCCCGGTTCCTCGTTCCCATTGTCACTGGCGGCACAGCTGCACCGCACGGCGTAGCGAAAACGGCGGCCTGGTCGGCTTTCATTACGGTGTTACTGTTTTAGCAGTCAATAGGCTCCAACGGGCGGGACGCCACACGGCGAGCCACACGGCGAGCCACACGGCCACAGCCGTGCGGCCGCAGCCACGCAGCCACGCCGGCCGCCAGAATGTTATTCAAATTGTAATCTGGCATTATGTATGCGAAGTAGTAGTGCGGGGGCCGACGGGGACGACGGACCGACGGCCGAAACAGTGGCGGTGCCGCCGCACTAGGTGTGCCTACAATGTGGCGCATTCAAAACCATATTAATATTGCAATATTGACAAAAGTCGGAGGGCATTGGCGCCAATAGCACGATAATGCCGGCGTGCGAGAGCAAGCAGCAGCCGCAGCGACCCCGCGGGCGGTACGCCGCCGCGCCACGCCGCGCCGCACAGTGGGCCAGAAGACCGGTGGAGCGGCCAAAACTCTAGACGCGTTTTGAGCTCCAGAGCCGATAAATGGGCCTCGAACCGAACGTGTGACCCCACCAATGGATTGCTCTCCGAACGAGGAATCCATTGGTGGGGTCACACGTTCGATTCGAGTCCCATTGAGCGACTCTGGAGCTCAAAACGCGTCTAGAGTTTTAGTCGCTCCACCGGTCCTCTGGCCCACTGTGCGCCGCTGGCTCGCGTTCCCGCCAGTTCCCGCCAGTTTGCGCACGGGGATGAGAAATTGCCGCGTCGTAACGAGCCCTGCTCTAGCAGTGCTCTAGCGCTCTGGCCCCGCCGTGTCCGTGGCTCGTTATTGCCCACCCGATTTGAATGTGAATGTGGACGCGAATGCAAGACGCGCCGCCGCATTGGCACTGCAGTCGCTCTGTCTCTCTCGCTCTCGAAGGGCACTGACGCACCGCAAAGGGTGCGAGAGAGACGGAGCGACGAAACGCTGTTCGGGAATCAGGCTGCTGGTGGTGGTGTGTTGCGCGCCGCGCCCCGCTGCCCTGTGTTGTCGAAGCCGGCTTTCATAATAATTGCGTGTGTTTGGCCACTGTAACGTGTTTCGCGCGCATTGGGTGCCCCCCCCCCCCACACACACACACACAGCGGGGAACAGACCAAGGGGTGGGACGCGTGAACCTGTGATCAGTGGATCGAGTGCTTCAAGCCCACGGTTACTTGACGCGTCGCGTCCCCGCGGTGCCGCGCGGGCCGCGCCGAGATTTTGTTGGCCCTTGCTTGTTTCGCGGCCATTGTTGCGGCCCATTGTGGGCCGGCTGCTCGGTGTGGCCGGCCGGGCCAGGGCCGGGCCCTCCAGGGAGGCATCCATCAGCCTGGCTGGCGGGGCTGGCGGGGCTGGCAGACACACATCCATAGGGATGTGGCGGGCCGCCATTGTGGCCGCACTCCGCGGCTCCGCGAGGCATGCCGCCATGGCCGAATCGAGGCCGCCCTTCAAATAGACTCTTCGCGTTCCTCGCCCGTCTTCATTGGTTGCCATTTTTACCGGCGAGTCGCGGGATCGATCCCCGGCAGCGGCGAGATCATTTCGGCGGGGACCGCTCCGACAAGGCCCCACTCGAGGAGAAGGAGAGTTTGACGTAGGCAGTCGCTCCTGCAGACCGAGAGTCGCTCTCTCTCGCACTCGTGGGGCGCCCCGAACAGGAGCGAGAGAGAGAGACAGAGCGACGACTCTCGGAATCATTTTGCTGCAGGCATTGCAGGCATGCCGCCGAGCGGCGGACTAATAGATCATCCGCGGAGTCCCCGCGCCTGCACGCCCTGCCGCGCCTTGCCGCGCCTTGCGTGGCCGGAGGAGGGCGAGCCTGCCGAGGTCGGGGCCTCGCCTAGCCTCGCCTAGCCTCGCCTGAGGGCGCAGGGGCCGTGGCGCACCTAGGGAGAGGGGCCCGGCCCCGGCTGTGCACAGCACCGACTTGGGTATAAGCCGAGCTGGAGATGCTGACAAGCAGATCTGCAGCTTACCGGCCTGTGCCTGTGCCTTCAGTCCCTTCAGTTCGTCGTCTTCCGGCTGTATTGGTCCCGGATAACCCCCGCCCCCGCTTCACCTTCACGCCGCCCTCGCAGAGGCGGGCCCAGGAGGGCCCGGCTGGCCCCGGGGCAGGGCGCCAGGGCGCCAGGGGTGCGTTTGTTTGTTTGTGTGGGAGTGCGCGCGGCAGAGAGAGAGAGAAGATGTAGGGACGCAGAGAAGGTGCGCTTCAATGGCGACGAGAGGAGGGAAAGGTGGGAAGGAAAATAGATCCCGAGACCGGCCGGTGTGTTCACATAACGGCGCAACACACGCCGAGGCATGCGGGGTGGGGTGGGGTGGGGTGAGGTGGGGTGGGGCGGGGTGGGGCGGGGCGCCGGCATAGGGCCCGAGACAAGGTAGGACGCACACCTCTGTGTCCATACTGGGATAGAAATGTCTGTGTGCGACATCTTAAGAGCTCCGTTCGTGGAATTGTTGTATTTTGTATCTTTTTTCGCCTACACAGTCAGAAAGGACAGATTCTGTTTTCGAGATTTGCCGGTTTCTGGTCAGCGTCACTCGGCCGTAAGCGACCAGCGGCAGACGCAGCCCGGCGGCTCGCCGCCGCACGGAACGGTATTTTGGCCAAAGCTGCTAAACCGTTGAAATTAAATGGGTATAGTAAGCGAGTCGATTGTAGATCTCGGTTCGAACTACAATCGGCTCGCTTACTACACCCCTCTAGCTATCACGGTTTAAAAGTAAGAATCAATAAACTACCCGTCGCGGCGCTGGCGGCGTCTGGGAGTAGAGGTTATGTTTCGGTCGACGGCTGAATTTCACTCACCTACTGACTACAGATGGATACAAAATAGACATGACGTGTAGCTCCAGGCACACCACGAAAGACACTTCACAGCACAGCGAAGCAATGTCACGCAACACCCGCGAGTCACTCACGAAACACTTCTCAAAACATAAATACACACGTCCGAGCGCGCGTCGCGCCGTGTCGCGCCACTGCCACCGCTTGTTTGTTCTCAAACCGTTGACTCGGTTTCCGAGCGCGCGGCTCGGAAGGAGGTCCAACTCGGCGAAAGGTGGATTTCGCGCGCCAAATGGGAGCAATCTCTTCGAAAACCAGAAATGGACACTTCAGGGTAACTCGGAATCGGATTTTCGTTTATCGTGCACAAACTGCGCAAAAGCGTTCAAATTCATGTCGCGAATGGGACGTGCGTGCGGCGAGACAGTTCGATATATCGCGACAAAGTCGAGTGGATTTCGATTCCCGCGTCTTTCGCGGACTACGCAGACGTGGCTATGATATGCATGGATATGTGGCGCGGGGTGAATGATTCAGAAGACGCCGTCGTCTCGTCTGGGGGCTGCGCGTCACTCGTGCCACAGGTCGCGTCGTGACAAGTCACGTGACAGGTCATTACGTCACGCGGGGTCAGGCGGGGGAAGCCAGTGCGCTACCCCGCCGCGAGCCACGTAACGGTTTCGAGGCTCTGGACTTCGACGGCCGCCCCACCTCCCGCCGTCCCTCCATCCCCTTTTGTGGGATCTGACTAATCATCCAAGCCATTCATAAGCAGCCAAGGTCATCACGCGTGGGCCGAAACACGCAGCCCCGCCCCGCCCACCGTCCCCACCCCTTTTGATTGGTCGCGTGGTTTGCGAACGGTAACTTTGAGCCAGTTTGGCGAGCACCACAGATTCCACGAGCGTACACACACACACACACACGCGCGCGCGCGCGACCGCGTGCTTCCGCGGCACACCCAAACACCCTGGTCCCGGGTGCCGCGGTGCCGCCTCCCCGTTGGCCGTAAAAGAGAAGAGCCCCGCTGCGCGGCGGCGCGGCGGCCCCCTTGACGAACTGCCCCGCGGGAGGTACTGTACGGCGTGCGACCGAAATCCCGTTCCGCGCGTCGTGTCGCGAGGCGCGGCATGCGGGACCGCGGTTCGCGGGAGCTCCCCTCCGGATAGAGTGAAGTAAGAGGGCTGCTGCTGCAGACTGATTCCGAGAAACGCTTTCGCCGCTGTCTCTCTCGCACCATACCGGAACGCCCCATGAGTGCGACGGAGCGACGACAACGACTCTCGAGACCTGTCTGCTTGGCATGTGGTGTGTGCGGTGAGCCTCGCGGTGAGCGCCACCCTTCCCCAGGATGCGCGGGGAAGGTTAGAAATAAATAAAAGTGTCAAGTAGCACTCGCACGTCACTTTGGCCGTTGGGTGATTGTCAGGTCCTTGGCGCCGGCGTAACTTTTAAATCCCCACAACCCTAAAAGTGGCGCGAGATTGCGCGATGAGCGACGCGCCACAAAAACGTGAAGACCGCCTCCCCTCCCCTCCGCGACTCAAGAAGTCCCCCGCCTCTCCCTCCGAAACCCCCCACCTTCCCACCGGGGGGCAAACAGTTAACATCTCGAATGACTCAAGGAGGGCCCTTCCAGTTGAACCGGAGTAATCCCGTTCCCGGCGCACTTCAACCCACAATGGCAGTCAAGTTCGCCCCGCCGGAGCGCTGGTGTCCGCCGAGTGGACCAAAGTGGACCCCCTCGATAATTCGCTCTCGCGAGCCAATACCGCCGCCGCTCCTTTGGACGGCCCGACGCGCAGTGGGCCCGAAGACCGGTGGAGGCGGCCAAAACTCTAGCTGTAGAGTCTCTAAATGGGACTCGAACCGAACATGTGACCCCATCAATGGATTCCTCGTTCGGGGAGCAATCCATTGGTGGGGTCACACGTTCGGTTCGAGTCCCATTTAGCGACTCCGGAGCTCAAAACGCGTCCGGGATTTTGACCGCGCCTCCACCGGTCTTCTGGCCCACTGTGCGACGCCAGCCCGACGGCCCTCGCCTCGGACCGCAAGCCGCACAAAGACGTTGCTTCTGTTATTGGAAGAGAGAAAACGGAGCCTGTCAATACACGTCACGCCACCCGAAAAATATGACAATATATAAGGGGCGTCCGTCTGGCTGTGCGAACTGAATGGCAAGAAACTCCTCGCCACCAGAAGAGAAAGGAAAGTCATGAAGCATTATCAGGCTCATGAACTATGAAGCGAATTTTGAGGAAGTCGTTGGACCTGGTCCGGAAAAAAATTGAATAGACTTGAATCAACATTAATGTAGACTTTTGGGAACTTGGATAAAGTCCATGAAACAAGTCTTGTTTGCGGGTGTATCGCGAGCTCCTCCAGGCTGCGTGCCGGCGAGGCCGTGGAGGCCGTGCAGGCCGTGGAGGTGCTGCCCCCTGGCCCTCGCTTGGCCCGGCTTGGCCCGGCCTGCTCGTTCCGGCGTGCCGAGGCGTGCAAACCACTTCCGGTAGCGTGGAAGAAACGCGCCTCACAATCAGACAATCGGGCGGCCATAATGCCAGGGACTCACTACTTGTTCGGGATTTTGTCCTCCCCCTGCTCTTATGGCGGCGCCACGCCAGCGCCACGGCCGTTGGATTGCCTTGCACTTCATGGAGTACTACTCACGGCACCTACGAGGCCCTGAGCCTGCTGAATCCCCCATCAGCAGAAGGCAGGGCGCCTCTAGAACACCGCCATGGCGTGCCCGGGCGTGGCGTGCCCCACGCCGCGCCCCACTGCTGCCCGCCCTCCTTCAGGCCCTCCACGCCCTGCCCCTCCACGCCCCTCACGGCGCATGGGATTTGCACTCCTCTCGGGGCGTTGTTTGGCCGCGTGCTCTATTACGGTCACGCACCGTGAGGAGTCAAGGGGGCCGGGAGGACGAGCCAGGACGAGCCAGGACGAGCCAGGACGGCCCGGCGGGTTGCCTACCCCGGACTGCTCAGGCGCCGCCCCCCTTTCCACCCGCAAGGCTCGGGCGGCGCGCGAAAAATAGAGGCGGCAAAATAAAATGCCGCTCGTTTCAAAGCGTCAATTAACACGAAGGGCGGCAGGGCGAGGAGGGGGGCGGGGCGGCGGCGGCGCGCTCTGTGGTTTTGTGGCAACCTGGCCACCGCCGCGACGCTCTACATTGTCTCCAGCCGCCGGGGGAGGGCAAAAAAGGCGCCGCGGAGAGTGCAGCCTGCGGCAGCCAGGCTCCGGAAGGGGAGGGGGTGGGGAGGGGCGAATTGGTGACTTATGGAAGAGAGCGCCGCCTCGCTCGCGAGCCAGTCTTTTCAAGGCATGACCGCGAGGCCAGGATAAGAGCCATGGAGCTGAAGCTGGCCGTGCCCGGCTTGCCCCGGTCGGGACGGCGGGGCGGCGGAACGGCCCAGGTGAAGCCATCAGTGTCACCTAGCTGTCAGAGCGGCGGCCTGGCGGGCTAAGTTTGCTCTGGTTTGCGCGGGACCGCGCGGGACGCACCTCTCCCTCGAGACGCTCTGGCCGACACCGTATCCCAGCTCCGGCTCTTGCCGCGGTCTGCTCTAAAGAGTGGATGAACCCACTTCTACTCTTGAAAGCCTCGAAGGCCTGCGACAAAAAAATGAACTTTATGTTAAAGACTTTCCACTGGAGTGGAGCTCCAGGTCTTAAGTGTTTTCCCTCGCATGACCCTGTGGGGTCCACCTGCGACATTCCCGCGGAATACTTGCCCTGTGGAGGTCCGCTCCCAAGGGCGTGCCCTGTAGGACCTACCCTAATGAACCCACCGAGATTCACCCCAAAGGGTCCGCCCTAAAAGTTCGACCCCTAGGGCTCGCTGTAGAGGGTCGACCTAAAAGCCTGCCCCGGAGCTCTCCAGCGAGCGCTCCCTCTCAGCCGCACCCCGATCAGGCGCGGATCCAGGGCCGAGTTGGGGGGGGGGGGAGGGGGCACAGTGGGTGCTTCAGCTAGAGTTGCCTACTCGCAGAGGCGCGTTTTGGCGCGAGAACCTCGAGGCCCGAGTGGACTCCGCGTCAAGCCATCGCGATGGCGGCCGTGGCTGCTGCCGTACCCAGTGTACTTACCTTACTGCCGGCTGCCGGAGAGGCCCAGGAAGCAGCAGGGTTTCGCGGACGCGGGGCGAGCAGGGCCGCGAGGGCGACGCGCAGGACGCGCAGGACGCGCGACGGAAGTGTCAAGACAGTCGAGACCGGGCGGCTCACTGCGGGCCTTACTCATCGCAGTGGCCGTGCCGCCGTGCCAGAGCCGCCTTGGCGTTGGCGGTCTTTGCACTGGGCCGGCGGGGCGGCAAAGTCCGCGCGGCGCGGCGGTGCGGCCTGGTCGGGGGGCTCGCTGCAGGCTGCGCGCTGCACCGGCTGCACGCTGCGGGACGCACGCGGTCGCGCGTCGCCACGCGGTCTACTTGTTGCCGGGCGGCGCGGCGGCGCGGCGGCGGACGCGGACGTCCTCGCGGACTGGCGGCGCGACGACGGCGGCCTCGGTTCGCGCACGCGATCGCGGAGGAGGACAAGCAGAGCCGAGATCGAGATGGTGCACGTATCACGGCGGGCAGGGCAGCCAGGCGGGGCAGCCACCCCGATGCAGGAGAGCTCCGCGCGGGTGGAGGCGTGGGGCACGTCTGTGCCCGCCGCGGGGCACCGGGCGCGCTGCCTTGGGGAAGGCCAGGGTGGGGGGGATGATGGCCCGTTGGCGCGCTGGCGCGCTGGCTCGCTCTAGTCTGGCGCGACGCTGTCTGCCACCCCCGTCCCCATCGTGCCCACCCCCTGCCCAGCGCCATCTAGCGGGCCTGGCCGGCCGCCCCGCACTGCGGCGATACTCCGCGCGTCCCGGCGGCTGCGGAGCACTGCGGAGCACTGCGGAGCGTCAGCCCATGTCGGACGATGAATCCCTTCTGCTCGAACCTTGTTCTCAGATTGAGCCAAAAAGTGCGCGCGGTCTGGCTTCAAGTATTTAAAAGCCAACCGCGTCTCAATGAGAAACTTTCATCATCTATGAGACTGAACGGTGACGAAATCTTCTGGTAAGTTGCTACTCGTTTATGTGGTCTTGTGGTTTCGGCTCTAGTTTCTGTCAAAATATAATTGTTCCGGAAAGTCCTTTGACTGAGTTTGCATCTGCCGCGCGGCTACGTCCGAAAAGGCAGTATGAGAAAGTCCTGTATAGGCAAGCAGCATGGTATGAGAAATTGAGGTCGCTTCGTCGTCGCATCGGACGGAGAGTTTTCTGCCTGACGATGATGGGTTTCTTTGTCAAGAACATTTGGTACATTTCCTGCTGATAGTACAGAGGTCGTTTAATCTCAGCATTCGATACCTTTTCGCGGTACGTACCATGCCCTGTGTTGTCTCTGTTTTCATTATAGGCCTGGCCGGAAACATAGGCTTCCTCTAGTGACTCATTGATTGTTTTGATGTTGTGGGAGGGACTTGTTAAATTTCAAAGCAGACGTATTGGTGACCTTCAATATTCACGTGCCTTTAAATTCGTCGAACTGAATAGGCCCACCCACCGTGTTTATTTTCACTTTTCAATCAGGTAACTGATCTAGGAAATAAACAAGTCTGTAAGGCCTTTGTTATTCCATAGGTTAACCTCCAAAAACCTCAACTTTTCCTTGTTTATCTACCGAGTTGGACTGAGTTTTTGACATTTCTATGCTAAAATCGCATTAGCTTTTGGAATTTCATATCAACATGTGTGTCTGATTGAAGACAACGATTTTGCGTTCTTTAGCTAAGGGGTTATGGTCGCATCATTACGTTTGTTTACATTTATTTGAAAATATGTTACATCTAACAATTGTTGTCGTTTTCTTTCTCCTGAAAATATCCTAAGGTCACCTTAATTTTAACCACATCTTTCTTTTGTTTCCAGAGATCATGGCTCTGTCAAATGTACTGCTTCTTAGCCAAGTGGCAGGCTATGTCATAGCCCTTATCTTGTCTCTGTGCATCACTGTACCAATGAGTTTTCATCAAGACGAGTTTCTGTAAGTATTTCTCCAGAGTGAGTAAATTAGCATTGATGAAATAAACATTCTACCATCTAATGTTATCTCATTCTCCAGGGGTCACTGCTTGCTTTTCTCAACTGGAGAATGGCAAGAATCTGACGGCCAGTTCGTTGTAAACTGGGCATCTCAAGCTTACTGCAACTACACTATTTTTGTTGGTGTCATATTATTCCTTGCATCAGCCATTCAAATTTATCGAATGTCAATGTACCTGTACAAAGGCACAGACAGGTAAGCGACTCTTATTTTTAAACTCAATTTTAGAATGTTGTCATATTAAGAACACATTCTTCTATATCAGATTAATGTGAGGTATTGACGTAGGTGTTTTTAAGTTACATTATTTGTAAATCTGTTTCAGCTCGTTTCTGTCCGCATTCACTGATGTTGTGGGCAGTCTTTCGCTTTGTGCCATGTGTCTTGTAACAGCATTACTTATCACCCTGGGCTTCACAGTTTGGTGCCAAAACATGACTCAAAGATTTCCATCGTAAGTTTGGGTTTGGCATTCCCTACGTTATCATTTATTCTTGAAAGTTTTTAGATTAATATGTTTACCATCTCTATTTTCCCAGGTGTGAAGTTGCTGCTGGCAACCAATTTGATAACAAGGACGGCATTAACACATCTGGATTCCACATTGAATTGGGAACTGCTCAAGTAAGAGGAGTTTTCCTTAGGCTGTGTGTGGCTTGGACTGTGACTGATTGTCTGATTGTCTTGATTGTCTGTTTCAGTTTGGTGCTTGGGCATCATGGACCTGCTGGGTTGGTCTCTCAGTGTTTGCTGTTTTGAAGCTTGTAAGTCAGCATCAACTACGAAACCTTCGTGTGAGCATGTTCCGTGAAAGGCAACGACTTATCAACGGAGGACAGGGTCCAGACAAAGAACCGACTGCAAGTGGAAGCACAACTGTTGCTACAGTGGAAGCTGTGTCTGCAAGTGCTCAACCATCCCAAAATGTAGTTCCTGCTAATGGGTTGTTTGAATAATCTTATCTAAAACTGCATCCAAAATGCATGTTTTATCCTGCATATGTTATTGATTTACTACGTGATAATTACAGAAAAACAGGTCTTATGATTTCATGTTAATCCAATTCTTATAATTATTTATTATTCACTTTTGGAGAGCTCCTATTTGTATGTGTGCATCATTGTATGTTCTGTGTTCATTTCCATCTGTAACTGGGCAGTGTGCCTAATCCAATTCTTACTCTTGGACTTCAATTATGTAGTCTAAGAATAAAAAGAAATTGTCTTAGTGTCTGCAGTGTCTGCTTGTTTAATTTTCTCAAAGCAAAGCTGTGCACAGCACAATGAATTCTTCTGCGCTTATTGCAAAATGATTTACATCGTCAAAAAATTATTATAGTTGTGTGGTTTCATTCTATAGATCTTCATCTTACTGTGATATTGTACCAAATCACTTGGAATCATGTTTTTAAAATAATGTTTCTTTTTTTTATTTTGACAGTAACAAGTCTATGTGTATTTGCCTTTGGTGTTTCATTTTATTGCTTTGTATCGAATCATTGCTGACTGATCAATATTGCTGATGTAAATTCGAGTTTCAGTGGACTTATTTGGGATGGAGTGCACATTTTTTTATGGCTATCTTCAATGAGATACTGATTATTATTTCTGTTTGCTTTTGTACTTTAAATCAATTTCATGTACCTTATTATGTAGTCTCTCAGATAGTCTCCAATTGCTGGGTTTCATTTTATATACTCCATGAAGTAAACCACATATTTTGTTCTTAGGAGATACACTTCAAATTTAAGATTTGTACTAGTAATTAACTTCTTTTAGTTTATTGCTGTTATGTGTTTTAAAATCAAAGCTACTCTTTTATCTTTTTTTTTCCACAAATTTAAAAGGTTTTAAATTTTCTGTATACTAGATAATCCATCCTTGTACATAATGTATTCCATTTCTATTTTTCTAAAGAGTGATAGATGTCTGATATGTGGATGAGACTTGTTTGTTAGAAAGTGTTAGTTAAATGTTAGGTGATACGAATGTGATACACTTTGTAGGTGATGGCAAGTTATAGGGGTGGTGAAACAGTAGTTACGAACTGGTTGTCTTGATAAAAATTGAGTATTAGCAAGAACAAGGATTTACTTTTTAGGTTTCTCAATTTCGTGTTTCACAATTTCAAACGACATCCTTTTATTGAGGTCATCTGTGCCTCTTCTGTTGGAGCATGTCATACCTTGTAAGAATTTTTATCAGGCCAGATGTAATTTTTGCACAATTCTCCCCTCCAGTTCTCAAATTGCTATTCGAAAGACAGGAATAAACTTCGAGAGGACTTATCTGATTCGACTTCGCGTTATTTCAATCGCTTCTCCTTGTCCACGCTGCGCGCCTGGCAGGCAGGCAGCCCAACCAACTTGCGTGCCGGATGGCTTGCCTGCCCCGCCGGCGCGCCGGTTGCCGCTGTCTCTCTCTCGCACTCCTGGGGCGCTCGGCTGCGGCGTGAGAGAGACAGTGATGACACACTGAGAGGCCATGGATTCTGCTTGCCGGTGGTCGTGGTGCCCGGTGGGATGCCCGTCGACGCCATGAGGAGCATGAGGCTCGCCTAGTGGGCCTCGCCTTCACAGTGGCGTGGCGGTCGGCGCGCTCTCTGTCGGAGGAACGCCGCACTTCGCTTTCTCCTTTCTCGGGCACCCCTCCCTGCCCCTCCCCTGTCCCTCCCCGGGGCCGACGTGCTGACTGTGACTGTGACTACCACGGGTCTCGTGGCTGTGGTTCTGCGGTGGGCCGCGCTGCTTTGTCGGGGCAAGGGGCGAGGAGGGGGTGGGAGAGAGAGGGGAGGGGGGCGTTGATGGTCTAGTTCGCGACACTGCTCCATTTCTCGACGCTGCTGAGGCTGTCACTGTCACCGAAGGAGCGGGAGGGAGGAGGGCGGAGGGGATGGAAACGGAAGTAGGCGCGCTTTTCATGTTTTTATCATTTATTTTGATTAATTGTTTTACGGGGAGCGATACTGTTCTGGTTTAAGGTTGGGAGGAATTGATATCCTTCGTGTTTGCACTTTGGCGGACCCTCTGCAGCACTGTGGGTTCGTTTCAAGTTCTGGAAGAAAACAGAATTGCGGGTTAGTCTTGGAGGGCTTGCTTACGGACGCCGCGTACCTAGAGCTGGATGTGCTAGACAGTGGTCCGTCCAGCCCAAGTCTCGCTAGCTCTGCAAATTGAAGTGTGTACATAGTACACTCTTATTGGAGCATACTTCCAAGTACACTCTTAGTTACAGCATACTTGCTAGGCACACGCTAAAATAGAGTGTACATTGCATGTACACGCTAAATAAGAGTGTACCTGGAGAGTACACTTAAACTAGCCCATGCTTTTAGATAGGACTAATCGACTGCATTTTAGCGTGTACTTGCAAGGTACACACTTATTTAGCGTGTACATGCCAGGCACACTCTATTTTAGCGTGTGCCTAGCATGTATGCTGTAAATAAGAGTGTACTTGGAAGTATGCTCTAATAAGAGTGTACTATGTACACACTTCAGTTTGCAGAGAGCCCCCCCCCCCCCCCCTCGTCTAGGCCGACGCTCCCTTTCAGCCTGCACGACTTTCTCTCGCCCATTAATCACCAACTTGGGGTCCAGCCGCCTCATTCCGAAGGATCCTACCGTCGCTCTGTCTCTGTCACACTCATGGGTCGTCCCGTTGAGGCGCGAGAGAGACAGAGCGACGAGAGCGACCGTCCGGAATCAGGCGGCTTGTGTTTTTATCATCAGCATGCACGAGGCCGGCCGGTGCGGGGCATTGGCTCGGCCGAGCTCGGCCCGACTGCGAGACAAATTTAGTCCGGGTTCAGCTCACGGCCAATGCGGATCCCTTTTTCTGCGCAGGTTTCAATGCAGGCCTATATGAGAAAGGGGGCAAGAAAAACAAAAGGACGCGCTTGATGCGCGTTTATTACACGCACCTGTGCAGTGTACTGTGCGTACTCGGGCCGGTGGACGCTTTGGGGGGGGGGCACGTAAAGGGGTAAAGGGGGCGCTGCAGAGTCGAGGGCCAAAAAACGAGACGGTGCCACTTTGGGAGTTGTGGGACTGGCCCGGGCCAGGCAGGCAGCCGGTCATGCCGGTCACGGGCACGGCGGCGGCGGTGGTGGTGGTGGCGGTGGTGGTGGTGGTGGTGGCGGCGGTGGAGGGGCGTGCGTCCGGTGCCGCGGCGCGTCAGGCGCGTCTGCTCGCAAATTCGGGGCACTAGGCTGCACGGTGCGGCGGGTAGGCTCCGGGCGCGCCACGCCGCGCCTCGGCAGGGCACGGCACGGCGTGAGCCTCGCCGGCTGGCCTGGCTGGCGCGGTCTTTTCGGGCGGGCCGGCTTGCTCACTGAACGGCGCAGGCACGCCGCGGGCGTGGAACGTGAGGCTCGAGGTGCCGGTCGACGCCGAGCCCGGGCTTCAGGCCTACCTCCGCAGCCCACCCCGGACCTACCTAAACGCATGAGAGCGAGAGAGACGAAAGCACTCGAACGCGCTGTTCCGTTCGGAACGAGCCATCTGCCAAGCCGAAGCGCCGGCTGAAAATTAGCCTGGCCCGATTGCCGCCGCGTTGCAGCCCGAGCAGTGCATCGCCAAGGCCTCGCTCCTCCACTTGCCAGTCCAGCCCGGTTCCGCGGAGAGCGCGCCGCTTCACGCGAAGCACTGCGACCACAGCGACGACGACGACACCTTCCCAGTGTCCTCGCATTTGCGGCCGCCTCCATGTCTCGACTGTCTCGGACGCTCCTTTTGCTTTTTGTTTTCGCCGAGCTCGCCAAAGAGGGCGCCTTTGTCGAAGGCGACCACTCAAATTAGAGCTTCGCCACCCAGTCGTAAATAAAATTCCGGCCGCAGCGTGAGGGCACCCCGCCCCGCCCCTGTCTTCGCTGACCCCTTTCCATTTCCTCCTTCTGGGAAACTCGGCGGGGGGGGGGGTCCTTTGGGGACGCGGCCGCTCAGTGGGCCAACACCGGACCGACACCCGAAACAAGCAGCCAGGCAGGAGCAGGTTGATTCCGAAATGTGCTTTCGTCGCTCTGTCTCTCTCGCGCCCGAGGGGCGCCTCACAGGGGCGCGAGAGAGACAGAGCGACGACTGGTTCGGAGGGTGCGACATCCTGGCCGTTGCCGCCAATACGGCCCTTTTGCCTCTGGACGTTTTGCGTGCAGGTTCGTTTTGCTTGCGTTAGCGTCCCCCTTCAGTGCCAAGGCCCCCCTCTCTTTTGGACGCTCGCTGCGCTGCCGCCGCTGCGACTGGAAGTTGCAACCCGTGATGCAACTTGCAACGTGCACCGCACGACAGGACTGCACGCGAACGCACGCGCCTCATGCACGCCAGCGACCCGCCGTCTGCCGCGTGTGTGTGTGTGTATATGTGTGTGTGTGTGTATGTGTGTGTGTGCGTGTAAGTGCGCATGTGTGAGTGCGTGCCGGGGGCGTGCCCGCTTGCCCCGGTCCGTCCTGCCGCCGGCCATCCTCGGCATCTGTGTCAATGCCGACGCTCGCGCACAGTGTACTTGAAGGACCGTCCCCCCGCCAAAAAAGTCATTTGAGAGTTAACATGCACTCATTTTTATTTGGCGTTTGACATTACTAAATGCGTCCGTGCTGCGAGATTGGAGATTGGAGGGGGCGAAATGGTCCGGGGGAGGGGGCAGGGGGGGGGGCACGCTTACACGGAGACCTGGTCTTCATAACGGGAGTCCAGTTGATGACCCCGTCAGTATTCGGCCATAAAGTTATCGGTTGCAGCGAGCAGACGATGCAGGACGAGGCAAGGTCATGCAACGCGTGCTGAGTGCTGCAGGCTGCATGCCAAGGCGGACAGTCAGAAAAAAAAAGAAGAAAAATACCAAAACTAATGAAAGTTAATTTACTGGACCTAATGAAATGAAATATTCTCCCTGAACAAGTGTTTCTAGTTCAGAATTTATTCAGTGCGCTTCGGGAAATCATTCAAACGCGCAACGGGGGAAAAATAATCGGCCAACGAAAATTGCCCGAGTCTTTGATTTGCGGTTTCTTACGCAGAATTCACCTGTCAGTCTTTTTGTCTTTTTGGCAGGTAAGTACGCCGGCCGTCCTGGGCAGTGTACCGCCAGTCACAACACGGCGAGGCGGAGCGTAGCCGCACCCTCCAGAATATATACACTGTAACCAGCAAGGTGTAGTATCGCACTATCGCACGGCACATTCGCCCATTCGGCACGGAGGGGACATTCTGTTTTCATCAAAGGTGACAGCTTTGTTTTACGGCCGGCAGGGTGACGCCCCGCCCCGCCCCGCCCCACCCCGCCCCACCCCGCCCCACCCCCCCACCCCGCCCCACCCCGCCCCACCCCGCCCCACCCCGGCACCCCACCCTTCTGTGTGTGCAAAGCAGACAATCGTTTTGCTCCTTCCTGGGTGAACGACCAGGCACGTCTCTCCGCGAAAAATAAAATTCGCTCATTGAGTAAGCAAACCACACTCGTGTAAATCTTGTCAGGATGTCAGAAACCTGTCTGAAAACCTGACCAAATTTCGCGCACCTCTGAAAGCTGAAAACATCTCCTGACATTCTGTAGAACTCGAACCATCAATATCGGAGGAAGTTTTCGGAATTTCAGCTTTCAGAGGTGCGCGAATTTTGATCAGGATCTCAGACATGTTTCTGAAACTCTGCCAAAATTTACACGAGTGCATCACGTCATAAAGTAAAGTAAAGTACGGTGGAGGGCAGCTGGCACGCGTTCGACGTTCGACAAGTCAAAAAATAATTGAATGTGAGAAGTAATCATCTGCTAAAAAGTATTTTTCTCCCGTTTTTGTCTTCCCGGTGTGTGCGTGCATGCTTGTTGCCGAAAACGCGGGCGGCTGTCCGATCAGCAACGGTCCCCGGCGTCACCGTGTTCTCGGGGCGGCTGTCGGCGAGTCAGGCGAGTCAGTGACCGGACTAGGAAGTCAAAGGCGAGGCGGCGGGCCTAGGCGGGCCCCCGAACCCCAAACAAAGACCCCAGGGAGCCGCGTGATCGCGTCGAGAGCCCGAATAATGCCTAATACCTGTGCAACAAGGAAACAAGGTGCGACAACAGTGTGCCGGGCAGGGTGCCGCGCTGGGTGCCGCGCTGGGTGCGGGAGAGGTCGTGCCCTCGGCCGCGGTCAGTCACTCCTGGAGGACAATATCGCGGAGGAAAGGGTCCTGCCGTCCTGCCAATGCAACGGCAATGCCGATGAATCCGATTCACACGTTTGCGGAGGACAGGGGCATGACGGGTCGGGATCGGGACCCTCCTCGTCTGGTTTGTTTGTGTCGGCCGGGCAATGGCCAC